ATTATTCCGCATAAAAAAATAAAAATAAAAATACATAAAGTAAATAAGGTAGATTTATGAAGATATTACATAAAATAGATTTGTTAAGATTGTTTAATTATTATTTTCCATTTTCACATATATTCTTTCTCAAGTTTTCAAATCCTGAGAGAAATAAAATATAATTTCCATAAATCAAGATTTTGTGATTTTAATAAAAATTTATTGTTACAAAAATATAGACAAATTAATCTTATTTCTTTGATTTATTAATACACAATTACACGATATTAATTAATAATTACACGATTTTATTTGTTTCAGAACATAAAAGTGTTAGAAAGCAACATTAAATTTTATAATTATTTTTGATGTTGTTTCTCAAGCGTAAAATTTTTGTGTGACTTAATAATTTTAATAACAATAATTGGGAAAGCTATTATACATATAAATAATCAATGTAATAAAAAAAATTTAATATTAACTGTGAATGTAGTATCAGATCGATGTGCGCGTAATTACATCAATATAAGTGCTCGGATTTTATACGATCCTATTGGCTATTTTTATATAATCGGTTATAATTTAAAAACCATTTTAGGGAGTACAAATTAGTTCAATCCGTTTCCTTAAAGATAGCTCCAGCTATGAATGGTTCATAATGACAGCTGATTTTGGCGGTTTCAGAGAGGTTAAACATCTACTAATAATATTCAGTTTATATCGCTTTGAGTTTCATACAAAAATCTTGATTTTTACTGTGTTTGAAATGTCGAATTTTGTGTTAACCAAACAGCATTTGCGAGAAGTTTTGATTTTCTACTTTAATTGGAAGAAAAGTACGGCTGAAGCCCATCGAATGCTTGTCGAAGTTTATGGTGACACTACTCCAACTAATAAATCATAGGAAATGATTTCAACGTTTCAAGGATGGAGATTTCAGCGTTCAAGACAAGCCTCGCTTTGGACAGCCAAAAAATTCGAAAACAAAGAATTAGAGGCATTATTCGAAGAAGATCAGAGTCAAACGCAAGAGGAGCTTGCAGAATCATTGGGGGTAACTCGACGAGCCGTTTCTGTACGATTGAGAGCCATGGAAATGATTTAAAAACAAAGAAATTGGGTGCCTTATGAACTAAAACCGAGAGACGATTGAAAGGCGATTTTTGCGAATGATTTAAAGACAACAGAGAAAAGGTTTCGGATTGTGACTGGAGATGAGAAATGGATATTCTACGACAATCCCAAGAAGAAAAAATACTACGCTAAGCCGGTCAATCGTTGCCATCGACCTCAACATCAACACCATGGTCGAACATTCATGGTCGAAGATCATGCTCTGTATTTGATGGGACTAAAAGGATCTTGTTTATTATGAGCTGCTGAAACTTGGCGATTCCGGGCGATCGGTATCGGCTACAATTGATTCGTTTGAGCCATGTATTGCGAGAAAAATGGCCGGAATACGAGCAAAGAAATGATAAGGTTATTCTTTGATGAATGTTCGGCCTCATGTCGCTAAAATCGTAAAAAAAATATTTGGAAATGCTCAAATGGGATGTTTTACCGCACCCGCCGTATTCTCCGGATATTGCTCTTTCTGATTACTGGTTGTTCCGAAGGCTGCAGCAAGTCACCGGTTCACTTCTTTCGCAAAAATCGAAAATTGTCTTCAAAATTGGATTCTCCAAAGACGAGTCATTTTTTCGAGATGGAATTCGAAAATTGCCTGAGAGATAGGAAAAAGTAGTAGGCAGCGATGGACAATACTTTAATTGATCTGTTCATTCATTTTATTTTGAAATAAATGCATTTTTGAACACAAAAAAACGGATCGAACTAATTTGTATTCCCAATATTGTACCCTCGACATTTTCGTATTAATATTTTTTATTTTTTAAAATACGCTATGAAAATATTATATGGTGGTTTTGAGATACTCTATAATTAGATATGTCCATATTTTTTTATTCTATAATATTTTTAAAATTGAGTTTGTAACACTAACAATTTTTTTGACAACAGGTCAGATCTGTTCGAACCGATTAGTTTTGGATCAGAAGTACGATTGCTCGCGTTAGAGCAAGAATTACAAGAGCTTAGGGAACAAATTTCAACAATTGTGAAAAATAATAAATTGTCCAAATGTATGTAACAAGTATATTTTGTTATACTCAAAAATATCCGAAAAGATTTAAAGATTCATGTTTGTCTTATAGATGCATCTGTAGCATCTTTGTCCAATGGAGAAGATAATCTAAAGTCTTTGTCAGTGCCACTACCACCTCCTCCTCCACCTCCACCACCACTTCCACTTCTATTGTTACCACCCACAACACCCCATATCGCGAGAAGGGCTAGTTTGCAAGATCACAAAATTGAAGATCGCAAGAAAATTCTATTTAGTGTAAAAAAATCGACGGGTGATATGCTGAAGGATATTGATAATGTAAAATTAAGACCAGTTGCAAGGTAATTGAGATTAATATTTTTATATAAAATTTTTCTGATAAAAACTTTCATCATAAATTAATTATATAGATAAATTTTGTAGTAAACAAAAGTTGAAGACAATTTTTTAATACATTGGAATTTGCATTAAAAGATTTACATAGTTGATTGAGATTCTTTTTAATTCACCAATTAAATAATAATTGTAAACCTTGATTAACTCATTAAGTCCCAGTAAACCTATGCACTTTTCTAAAGTTTCTAAGGTTGCTACAAAATTAGAAATCAGGAAAACAGGGAAATTGTAAACGATCAGAAAAATCAAGAAATTTTATAAAATTTTCCGGAAAATGAAAATTCTTGATTTTAAAGAAATTTAATATACATCATATCTACGCAGTTTTGGAATACTATTAACTTAATGATAAAATGCAGGCGATGTTAGCAACATTAATAATAATTTATATTACTATATTAAATTGCTCCTCAACAAAATATTTGATGGTTTGCAAATCAGGATGAAAGTACAAAAAAATTCAAAAAAATATTAAAAGCAGAGAAAAAATCATATCAAATTTTGTCTGAAAATCAGGGAAAAGTTATGGATTTTTAGGATGAGGAATTTGTGACAACCCTGATTTTAAATCCCTGTAATTCTCGTCTTAACCAAAATTTTTTAGATAACATTAATATTTAAGTATAAAAAATTGTTTTTTTCCGAAAATTTAATCTGTTATGAGAGGAAAAAGATATTAAAGGTCAGAGCGGCTCTTATCTTTTTATTGACAAGTAGTCACTTGTGTGTAAGATCTCACCCCAACCTCGCATCATTAAAAGCTATATTTCTTGTTCAGTTATCATTAGTATTTTGAGTAAATACAATAAAAAATAATTGTGTGTAGAGGGGGAATAGGGAGGGAAAGAGAAAGAAGAAGGAAGAGAGAGAGATACACATAAACGCGCGTGCAAGTACATACGACTTATAAATCCGATCGGGCAACCTCTACATAATACACGTTAGGTAATGTTAATACCGACGGTATTGTAATTTTCAAATTTCATAACTCGAAAAGTACTAATTAAAAAAAATATTATAGTGTTTTTTTTATTATAGTGTTTTTAAAACTCTTAACACCAGTTGTTAGATTCTAAAATAAAAAGAATGTTTCATTTAAAAAAATCGATTTGACCTTGATAGCGCCACCCAAGATTAAATTGATAAGATCAGTAAATTGATCATTTTAAACCTTACAATTTAAACCTTTGTATATCTTTTTCTCAAAAATGCTTACTTTTCAAGTATTTTAATTATCAAGATAAGAGATCTAGGACTTTTTGTACATCTTATATTTTTTAATTCATATTTATTGAATGTGAATGTATGTAAAAAAATTATTATTTTTTTATTCACATATACAGTACTAGAAAGCATAATTTCTTGTTTAAAACTATAATTCAACGTTTAATAATGATACAAAAACTGAGAGCTCTCAGAAAATAAAATAAGATTGTATATTGATCTTTTATAGGTCTCCAGGCGGTCATCCTATGCGAATGAAACGTGAGAAAAGTCCATGCAATGATTTGCAAGAAATTTTACGAAGGCGCTACATTGCAATGCAATCTCCCGATAGTAAGAATTCATCAGCCAATTTAGCTATGGACAATTCATTTTGAATGGATTCAAAACAAATTGTCCATAATTAAGTATGTGAAAAATTTTTCGAATATTTTCTTTATACGAAATTTAGAGCTTTTACAATAACCAATGATCATACATTTCACTTATAGCAATTATGTTTGAATTTTTGCACTTTGCTTTAACTCAAATCTAAAATAAGAGACTTATGCTCGTATCAAACTAGAGATTAAAATTGGAATTTATTAGAAAAAGAAAACTAATTTCACGTTTTAGTGACCTTTGCTTTAATTGATCAACTTTCAATCCAATTTCAGTCTCTAGTCTGATACGGGTTTTAAACCAAAGATCAATTTGCTGTAGCATTGTAACATTCAGGTAAAAATTTTCGTTTTCTAATGAAGTGAAAATCAAAGTTTTTTTTTTTATAAGTTTAAAGAAATATTTTAGTTTGTATTTATGATTAAAATGATTATTCTAAAGATAGGGTCCTATGGCCAGTAGCTCGGCATGACTCGCCATTGTTCGCCATGGCTTGGAAAGCCTCTATGTATCAGAATAGTTTGTTAGCACTCGCGGTTTATGGCTCGTGATACGTCGTTTTCGAAGATGACGGTAAGTTTTGCGAGTCAGAAAAGTCTTCGTGATAAACAAAGACAACAACAACAAGACATTTTGCGCTGTTGGGCTCGTCAATGACTGCGTTCAATAGAATGCTTATTTAACAAATGTTGAAAATTTTTTTTGCTGATGTAAGACTACAGAAGATCTAAAGTATAATTCTATTTTTCTCAGCGCGAAAGAAACTTGCAACAGTAGTGAAACAAATATTCGGCTGAATGTGATCAATGCTTGCAAAAAGTCATTTTATATAAATTTTTTCACATAATTATAGATTCAATAATTTTTTCATCATCCTACTCCTATTTCACACTACGACTTGAACGATAAAAAAATCTTAACTTAATAAATATCTCGATCAACAATAATAAACAAACTCTGACGTATTTACATGCAAGTATAAAGAAATCGGTTGGTGTAACGACGCACAGTTATAATTATTTCGTCAACGACGCACAGCAGTTATAATTATTTAGTCAAGGCGCGAGCTCTGGCGATTCTTTGGACTCGCATAATTTATTGACAGTTTGGCCAGTTCGACAAACCAATAATCCATGAGTCGCGAGCTATAGCGAGCAATAACGAGGCACCCTGTTTCGATAAGGCTCGCCGCGCGGAGCCATGGCTCGTTATATAGTAAGCCTAATTCAGCACTCCGTGAGATCACCATAGGACTACAATTTTAGTTTTTTTTTATATTAATTTCGGAACTGATTCTGTAACGAGCTTAAGCGAGCTAAAACGGATCACGAACTATATCGTGCTAAGGGATGTGAAATTCTACCTTAAGATTCTACATAAGGCTGTTATTGAAGTTTCGAGTTAAAGATTTTTCTTACAACATCTAGCTATAGAAGATCTAGCTATAGAAATTTTCTCTTTTGTTTGAAATAAGTAAATATTATTTTCGTGATGATTTGTGATAAAAAAAATGGAATATACAGTTTCTATTATCATTTATAGATTCTCAATTAAAATGGAAAATTTTAATTACTAATTCGTATAAGTAAAAAATAAATTTTAATTTAATTAACAAATATTAATATTGTAATCATTTGTAATTCTATTTAATTTAAGAGTATCATACATGTTACGAATATTAATATTAATGAATATTTGTTTCAGTAGTATGAATGTACGTTTGGCGTATAAATGAAATTTTATTTTAGAGAATATTTTATTAATTTCTTTTTTCTTGATCTTTAAATATTTCTGTAAATACTATATGTGAATATTAAAATTTACACTTAAAATTGCAAAAAACAATTGCATATTTACATGTAAAAGATTGTTTTATTTATCTTAATTATTAATTTATTTTTATTTTACTTTAACTAACGTTATCAATTAGTATTTAAATTTTTAAAAAAGTTAACCCAGCAGATTAATCATTTCTTGCATCTAAACATATTGCAAGAAACTACTAATTATTGGTATATTAGTCACAAATGAAGTATTCTTTACAATTATGTATTCTGCTAGAAAGAAATTATTTGTGACGGAAGTAATATCTGTGGCATTTTTTTATTATATCAAGAATTGGCATGAATTATATTAAGATTAGAATAGTTACTTTATAAAAATATTAGTTACAATTACCATTTTTTTTCTTTTAAAAACTAATTAATTACCGATTCTAAAAAATAATCTGTTACAGTTATTTAAAAAATAACTTTTTAGTTATTTTTCAGTATCTTTTCTATTATAACAAAACAACATGAGTAATATCATTTACTATTAAGGAAAAAGATTTATGTTGACAGCATCCTGTTTGACGATTATATTGCGATTGACTAGTATGCCCGAACATAAAAATTTGTAATTGAGCTGTAAATTGTATTTATTCAACATTTTCACGTTAAAAAAAATGTAATCATATTCAAAATTTTAGGTTTTAAAAAATATTTATTCACAAAAAAATTATGATTGTTTAACAAGTATTTATATTCATTTAAGTAAAGTGCAAACAAAATATAAACTGAAAAAGAAAATTCCAATAAATAATCGTTATACTTTACTATAACCGGTACTTTGATGATTTTAAGTAAAAAAAATAGATTTTATTTATTTTTGTCATTGTAATATTTATTAAATGTTCCGATTAGTGGATTCCGCGATAAAGTGTTTGTTTTTTGAAGCAATCGATTCAGCCATTTTTTTATTTCATCATATGTTTTGAAATGCTGGTCAGCAAGGCCATGCTATATCGATCGAATAATCCGAAAGAACAGTTTAATAAATACGTGACACGTAGTAAGATTTTCCATTGAAAATGCTAATATGTTTTTAACTGTTTTTGTAACTGTTTTGGTCGAACATTATTGTCGTACAAGATCATTTTGCGTTTTCTTTGAGCTTGAATTTTCTGGTTCAAAACATGATTCAAATCGATTAATTGTTGTTGATAATGATTGTTTGCTTTGGTTTCAGCAGCTTATAATAGACACGGCTTTCATGTCTCATCAAATATACAACAAAAACCTTAATGTTGCGTTTTAGAGTTGATATCGACGGTTGAATTTATCCACGATTTTTTACACTTAGGATTATCATTAGTAAATCCATTTTTTCATCGCCGATTGCTACTTGATACAAAAATTGCTTCTTTTTATGACGAGAAAACAATGAAGTGCAAATGAGGTTAAGGAGGTTTGACTGTTAGGGCTGCTGCATACAAATTCCGCAACAGTAAGAGGTAAACTTAAATCGATGAGCCAATCAGGATATTGCTTTAAGTCTATATAATCTTAATGCGGTAGCCCTTAGAGCCATGGCACACAAAAAAACTTAAGCAGTAAAATATAAGCAGTAAGCAAATTCACCAATTATAGTAGAGTCCATAAAACCATAACACAGTATAAGGATATAGTAGGGACAAACAACGTCGGCACCTTTGATCTTTTTCAGATGAGTTTTCAGGATCCGCCATGTCTTTGGTGACCACATACCGTATCAATAGTATTAGGAACCACTGCTTATATTCAACAAAAAAAGGAGATAAAAAAATCTTAACTTTTCAGAATCTTCCATCAAATCTTCCACCAAAGTGATTAGTTAGATACGTACAGTCACGTTGCTTCATGAAATTAATTGCTGTAATGAGTTATTCAGGAGATATAGTAATGTCTCGTCGCTAAGCAAGTATAGCGAGTATATCGTGATGCGATTGCAGTAACAGAGAAACTGTGGGTTTTCTGCTTTGATCGGGACCACCAAAAACATGGACTAATGATGACGCAAGCAAATATGCGCGGCGGAAAACGAGATCTTGTTCTTACTATATAACTTTATACTGTGGCCGTAACATAAGCAGTAGTCAATATGTCGATTTCCTTACTGTTTACGTCTTATTGCCTTTAGAAAGCCAACTTAGAAACTTAATTTTTTTATATGATGTAGATAAATACTGTACATAAATAATCCCATAATTTGAGCAATATTGATCGTATAGTTTTCTTATAATATTATTCTGAAATTGATCATTTTAAGTATTGTATACCGTCTTGGCGGTTGTTCCGAAGATAATCACCGATTTAATACTGTAAGAAATTATTAACGAAATTACCGGTAATCAAGTCTTTATTTAAGCGACATCTATAAATCGCATTCGATCATTAAATTACATTCGATTTAATCGACTTTAGTTCGCTCAGCAGAACTACAGCGCTCATGCTCCGGAAACGAAGCACAGTATAATAATAATTGAAGCATATGTTAGCGAAGCATCGGTTCTTCTCGCTTTTCGCGAATATATTCGGTCGAGACATACCGAATTTATCACATACCGAAATGCTTTTATATTGTTCTCGGTCTTTGTACTTTTACGAGTCACGTACGAATAAAATCAGTGATCGACTACAATACCAGGACTGTTTATTCGCACGATTTCCTGACAAGTCATTCCGACATATTATTCTGATTCCGAATTCCTTCACTCTTATCAAACTTTCCTTGAAAGAAAACCTGATAAGATTCTTCAAATTATTTCAACCTTACAGTTTTCAGAAGTGGGATAACTCGCACTTCTCTAGGATTCACCCTTACTTCTCTGAATTTAAATCGCTCTTGAAATTACTCCTTCGCTTTTCCTCATTGCGAATAAATTAACGAGTGATCATTCGCATTAGCGAAAAATTAATTGCCACGTGTTGCGTCCATCTTGAAGTCTCGCAGTTACATTTAGAGACTCCAAGAATGTATCGGTCGCGTTTAGACAAAATGTTTATTGCCAAGCTGCAGAAAGAAGCTCAACATTATCGTTTACTTTTGAGTGAAGATCTCAAAGTCTTAATCGATGCGATTATAGCACACATGGAGAGTGTAACGGCCCTATGGACATGTTAAGGGGCGCAAACTCATAAGACGATCAAAACGTCGCAGCAGGATCGTCTCGAGTCGATGTGATTTAGCAAATGTTAGTGAACATAACAATGCTAGTCTCTGTGATCACTAATCCGTTGCAACAAATGCAGCAGCAAATACTGAAGAGTAGCAGGCGCA